TAAATTCCAGCAGTCACGTTTTCTTCCTCTCTCTGTTTTTTTCTTTCTTTCTTTCTTTTTTCACAAATAGCCTGTTCTTGTTAACGCACACCATATTCTTTCAAACCTCTGATGATACTAGGTACAACTGGAAAAGTTTTATGTGCTGAACATTATTTTTTCACAGCTCACAGCAACCTCCAACTCTTGGGCTTAAGCGATTCTCTTGCCTCAGCCTCCCAAGTAGCTGGGACTATAGGCGCCTGACACAACGCCCGGCTGTTTTTTTTGTTGTTGCAGTTGTTGTTTTAGTTTGCCCAGGCCAGTTCAAACCTGCCAGCCTAGGTGTATGTGGCTGGCACCCTATCTACTGAGCTATGGGTGCTGCCCGATAAAATGATTCTAATAAAGTAAACAAACTAGAATATCCAAGACACTTGTGGAAAAAGGAACAAACCTGGAGGACTCATGTTAGCTTATTTCAAGACTTAACTATCTGATAATCAAGACTGTTACAGAAGAAACTTTAGGTGGGGCACGGTGGCTCACACCAGTAATCCTAGCACTCTGGGAAGCCAAGGTGGATGGATCCCCTGAGCTTAGGAGTTAAAGACCAGCCCAGGCTAGAGTGAGACCCCTTCTCTCAAATGGCTGAGCATTGCGGCAGACAACTGTAGTTCTAGTTACTTGGGAGCCTGAGGCAAAAGACTTGCTTGAGCCCAGCAGTTTGAGGTTACATTATTCCCTAAACAACATGTGTAATAGTTTTTTATCTAGCATTTACATCATATTAGATATTGTAAATAATTAATTTGATCACACACTGGAGGCAATTTGTTGGTTATATGCACATACTATGCCACTTTTATCTCAGGGATTTAAGCATCTTAGATTTTGTTATCTGCCAGGTCCTGGAAACCAATCCCTGTAGATCAGCAGTTCTCAACCTGTGGGTCATAACCCCTTTTTAACAATGAAAATACATTGCAGCATTAGGAAGGTTGAGAACCACTGCTATAGATAATGAGGAATCCCTGTATGTCAGGTGGTTTGCAGTGATGCTTGCTGTCCTCTGTAGTAGTGCCCTAAGCAAAGCACTCTTTGGGTTATGTGCTCTCCCGAGTTCACAGATGTGATCTGGAGACTAGAGCGGTTAAGGAACAGCTGGGAAGTGACAGGAACTATGTCCCATCGCCTTCCCTGAGTGGAAGAGGAGGGGAACCCTGTCATACTGACCCTTCTTTGACCCCCCCAGGACTCAATGCCTGAGGTCCGGCAGAGTTCTTTCGCCCTACTGGGAGACCTCACCAAAGCCTGCTTCATCCACGTCAAGCCCTGTATTGGTATGACATTCCTCTTGTCCCTAACCTATGACTCCAGCTTCAAGTGATGGACAGATGCCTAGGGAGCACTATGACCGATTGGGATGTATTCGTACTGTCTGATGGGCCCTGATCAGCTGGATCCTAGGGCTCACCCTGGCTGGCCTCCCCCTCAGCACCCCTCTTTCTTCTCACCAGCTGAATTCATGCCCATCCTGGGCACCAACCTGAATCCTGAGTTCATTTCTGTCTGCAACAATGCCACCTGGGCCATCGGGGAGATCTGTATGCAAATGGGTGAGCAAGAACACTCAGTCCCCATTGGCCTTTCCCAGCCTGGAGATAGGAGCCTATCTCTGACAGCTCCTGTCAAGGGAAGCCTCCCACTGGCAAGGAGCAGAAGGTTGTGTCTGGGCATTTTGCTCAGGGGAGCCAGATGCCTACAAGGCCATTTGTGGTTGGCTTCTCCAAAGAGGGCCAGGAGGGCTATTCCACTTGGATCATTTAATCTACTTGGCTGGAGTACCTATTGGGATTGGTTGGGTGGCTTTGGCTTCTTTCCCTCCAAAGGAAGGTCAGGCAGTGTGGTCTCATTATAGTGTCTGGTAAGGGCTCTGATGTTTGGAGGGCGTATGTGTGTCTCTGGTTACCCATGGATCCTGGGCTGGGGATAAGCTGGGGAAGATTCTTTATTCCCTCACTGTTCATGGTTGGCCAGTCTCTGGATGGCCCTAGGGTTAGTGAGTTAGGGGGCTGTACCCCTGGCAGTCCCACTGTGGGTGCAGTGGGCTGTTCAGGCTGATTGGGTGCTCCCCCAGGCGCAGAGATGCAGCCCTATGTGCAGATGGTCCTGAACAACCTAGTGGAAATCATTAACCGACCCAACACACCCAAGACGCTGCTGGAAAACACAGGTGGGCACCAGACCTGGGCTGTTTGCCTGCCCTTATCTCGGAGGTGGAGTTCTGGGCTAGGAGGGCAGCTGGAAGTAGCCCCTCCAGGGGATTCTGGAAAGAGCCCCAAGAAAAATGTTTGCCCTTTGGGATCCCAGAGGAGATACCAGATGGGATAGGGCGGAGACTCTGACTGGGCCAAACTCTGGGGCTCCAGCTGGCCAGAGGAGTCATTCCCTTGGGGCCCATGGGGCGGGGCTTGGTGCCTCTTGCCAGAGGCTCCACCACGTACCGTCCTGGGGCCGCTCAGGGTTGCAGGTCGCCTGACGAGTCCCTCTGCCATTCCAGCCATCACCATCGGCCGCCTGGGCTACGTGTGCCCACAGGAGGTGGCACCCATGCTGCAGCAGTTCATCCGGCCTTGGTGTGTGCCCACCTGTGATGCGAGTGGGTGGGAGAGCCTGGCCTCTTCTCTCAATTCTGCCCTCCCAGTCCCACTCCCACCTCCATAGATGCATGTCCCAAACCTGTTCACTGATCTCCTATGCACTCCATGCCCCCAGAGATATGAATCCTGCCCAGACCTCATCTCCCACTGATTGATGCTTCCCTTCCCTCTTAGGTGCACGTCCCTCAGAAACATCAGGGACAACGAGGAAAAGGACTCTGCCTTCCGGGGCATCTGCATGATGATTGGTGTTAACCCAGGGGGTGTCGTGCAGGTTAGGGCAGCTGGGCTCTGAGGGAAGGCACAAGGACTGGGCTTGGGTGACCCCTCACATGGGATTCATCATGTTTCAGGACTTTATTTTCTTCTGCGATGCTGTAGCCTCATGGGTGAGCCCAAAGGATGACCTTCGGGACATGTTTTATAAGGTGGGACTCCTGCTGGGCCCCAGTCTACTTCCAGGAGTGGGTAGGGAGGAGACCCTCTGATGGAGGGCAGTATGGTAGAGCAGAGGACAGGCAAGAGCGGGAATGGGTGCATTCCTCTTGCTCTGCCCTCATCTGCACCTCATCCCCTGCCTCCCCACAGATTCTCCATGGCTTCAAAGACCAAGTTGGGGAGGACAACTGGCAGCAGTTCTCAGAGCAGTTCCCCCCACTACTCAAGGAGAGGCTGGCGGCCTTCTATGGGGTCTAGGCGAACAGGGAGACTGCCAGGTGAGGGGTAGGTCCCTGGCTCCAGGGCAGCATGCTTTAGGGGCTGAAGGGGCCCAAGCCCTGACATTCTTTATCCCCTCCATCCCTGCAGGTTTCTGTCTGTGTCATTGTAGGAGGGATTGCTGGGAGCGCACTGCGTCCAGAAGTCGCTGTGACCTGGTCGAGGGGGGTTAGGGAGGAGTGAGTGGGACCCAAATCCAGATGCCTTCCCGGTCAGTCTGTCTGTCCGTCCACCTGCCCCGCTGGGCTTGCCGGGAAGACAGGCAGGCAGGTGGGTGGGGCCTCCACGCTCATCCTACAAACAGGGAGGGGGGTGGGACTTCTTGGTGGGCAAGGGCCCCTGGGCGCTCATCCGGGTCCTCTCCAGCAGCCCCCTGGGCCAGCTGCATGGGAGAGAGGAATCAACACCGCCGGCTGAGTCCGGTTGGAGGCAAGGGGCAAGCAGGCGGGTGGGGGTCCTTGTAGGGATGTGCACATTCACACAGACACACTGGCCACACGCATGTGCGGGTGCTGTAGCCAGCAAGGATGGGCCAGCCACCCCACCATTTCCCTGACTGCATGGAGACAGTAGAGTTAGTGAACCCCTGAGTTAACCCTAAGGCCTTCTGTGTAACCTGCATCTAGAGTTTAAGAAGCTTCTGCTGTTTTGCTGGAATTGGTGGTGGGTGGGTGGGGGGCCTCAGCCAGGATCCTGGGGCTGGGAGAGGAGGACAGCTGTCTCAAGGTTGTCCTGTTAGCACGCACACGCTTGGGACCTGCTCTGTACACTTCCTGCCAACTTTGTGGCAGCCTCAGCCAGTGTGTCCCCATCTTGTCCTAGTGTAGCCAGCAGGGTGGGGACCGCTAGGGCAGCTAGGGCAGGCCAGAGGTTGCCCTCTCTCCCTCAAATATGCTCCAGCAGCTTTTGAAGATGCTGGACTGGGACCTTTTTCTTGAAGAGAGCTGGAGGCAGCCAGGACTGCTGGCTCCTATACACTGCATCTCTCCATTAGCTGTGCTTCTGAGAGCTTCTTTCTTGTATTTTAGGCCTGAGTTTTAACTCTACATCCAGGGTGAGGGCATTTAATTGGTAGTGACACAGGACAAAGACTTAGACTTTTTCAGCAAGTAGGAAACCCAAGGGCTTGGAGGAGGAAAAGGTGGTACACCCCATCTTGACTCCATTACCCTGGGGCTTCATGCCCATCATGGCACCCAGTGGGCCCAGAGACCACACCAGACTGGGGCAACAATTCTATAGAACCTTCTGGGCTTGGTTGGGGATATGGTAAGAGGGGTTCTTCTAGGGAGGGAGGGGACCAGGAAACTGAGTCTTGTAGTCCCCTTAATATTCATTATTTTCCATTCCTTCCCTGCTTCCTACTTTGGTGGGGCTCCTTGTGTTTGGGGTTTGACTGGAGTCCAGCATCCCCGGGGCCTAATCCATCCATTATCCCTCCTGGGCCCTGGATCCTACCCTGTCCTAGCCCTGTCTTATCATGGTCAGGGTCAGGCCCTGCCTTTATTCCGAGGGGTACTTAGTACACATTCCATAACTTAGCTGTTTTTTTTCCCACCCCACCCCGTGAAACTCGAGCAGGTCTCTGGAAGCTATTTGTAAAAAAAAAAAAGAAAAAAAAAAGTTTTTTTAATGCCTTTTAATTTTCTAGTAATTCCAGTTCTTAGGAGCATCCTCTACTGGGTCTTGGGTGTGTAGATGGCTTGGCTGATGGCATTGGAAACCCCCTCTCCACCTGAGATGGGGGGCTTCAAACACCTTCAGGGAAGGGGAGCCTGGTTCTTGTGTGTGTGTGTGTGTGTTTTTTTTTTTTTTTAAAGAAAGCTATTTAATTTTTTCTAATTTATTTTTGGTTGGTTTTTGCACAACGAAGTTTCAGGTTCTCAACCTTCTCCCCTGCCCAGGCTGTGGACCCAGACTGGCCTTGATCCGCAGTCCTCTCCATGTTTCCTGAGTCCCTCCTTTCCTCCTCACCCTCTTCCTGCTGCGGGCTCCCAGGTCTGTCCATTTGTTACTGTGCTGTGCTAGGGATTGGTGCCGAGGTGGCGTGAGATTCCACTTGTGTAGAACTTTGTTGAGTAAAGATCAGTTTCTTGTGAACCCCTTGGTTTCTGGTTTCCTGTTTCCTTCCTTTGGTAGTGGTAAAGGAGATGTGGAGAGCCACCTTGGGCTCTTTGGTTAAAGTTGGAACCCCAAGCTTCTTGGTTGTCTTCCCTGTAAAATCAGAAGGTGAATATGAAAGATAAAATTGTATAACATAAACACAACATGCAATGTATTCTCTTTAACATAGTAAGCTCGGCTCAGTGCCTGTGGCTCAAGTGGCTAAGGCGCCAGCCACATACACCTAAGGTGGTGGGTTTGAATCCAGCCCCTGGGCCTGCCAAACAACAATGACAGCTGCAACCAAAAAAAATAGCCAGGCGTTGTGGCAGACGCCTGTGGTCCCAGCTACTTGGGAGGCTGAGGCAGGAGACTCGCTTGAGCCCAGGAGTTGGAGGTTGCTGTGAGCTGTGATGCCACAGCACTCTACCAGGGGGACAGCTTAAGGCTCTGTCTCAAAAAAAAAAAAAAAAAAACATAGTAAGCTCAGTAAAGGAGAGACTTTGGAGCTGGGTGTAGTGGCTCACACCTGTAATCTCAGCACTGTGGGAGGCCGAGGCGGGCAGATCGCCTAAGCTCAGGAGTTCAGGACCACCCTAAGCTAGAGTGAGACCCCATCTCTAAAAATAGCCAGGCATTGTGGCAAACGCTTGTAGTCCCACCTACTTGGGAAGCTGAGGCAAGAGAATTGCTTGAGCTCAAGAGTTGGAGGTTGCTGAGAGCTGTGATGCCATAGTGCTCTATTGGGGGCTACAAAGTGAGACTCTGTCTCAAAAAAACCCAAAGATACCACTTTGCCATACATTCACTGTGAGACAAGGGGTGAGGCCTCAGGCCTTGCAGCATTCTTTATCTTCAGCTGACTTCATAACTCCGCATTAGTGGGCAGGTTAGAAAGTTGTGTAGAAGGCTCAGCCCAGCACCGAGCCTGAGGGAGACATGTATGAGGTACAGTAACTGATGCAAATGAGAAAAAGCTCCAGTTCTGAGGGAACACAGAGTCTTCAAAATAGAATCTGTTTTTCCCTTTTTCTCATAGCAGATAGGTAATGTGCAGACATTCTAACAAGGTTTGAAGGAGGCACCTCTCAGCCAGGAGCTTGAAAACCCAATCACACTTACAAATCACAAAAGGATCTGAGAATAAGATTTTGCAACATTGGTGTGGTCCAAGGATGACCTGCAACAACTTGGAAACTAAAAAATGCTGACACCTCCCCAATATTCATTCAACAAATAGTGCCTACATTGTAATGAGAAGAAGTAGGCCATATAGCAGAACAGTAGTAAATCCTATAGAGAAAGGCAAGGCAGGGTGGCGCCTGTGGCTCAAAGGAGTAGGGTGCTGGCCCCATATATTGGAGATAGTGGGTTCAAACCTAGCCCCGACCAAAAACTGAAAAAAAAAAAAAAAAAAGGCAAGGCAGAGAGGATGTTGGGGAAAATAGTTGAAATTTTATGTAAGGTACGCAGGAAAGGCTTCTCTGAGAGTGATGTTTGAACAAAGCCATATGGAGAAAAGTGTTAAGCAGCGAAATTGCAAGTACTGTCAGATGTCATTTATATGGATGGCTTAACTGGCTCAGAAGTGGTGGCTTTTCTTTCTTTCTTTCTTTCTTTTTTTGAGACACTTTTACCCTGTGGCCCTGAGTAGAGTGCTATAGTGTCATTGTAGCTCACAGCAACCTCAAACTCTTGGGCTCAAGTGATCCTTTTCCCTCAGCTTCCCATGTAGCTGGAACTATAGGTGCTAGCCACAACACCTGGCTAATTTTTCTATTTTTAGTAGAAGGGGTCTTGTTCTTGTTCAGAATGGTCTCCAACACCTGAGCTCCAACAATCAACTTGCCTGGGCCTCCCAGAGTGCTAGGATTATAGGTCTGAGCCACCACACTCTGTCAGAAGTGGCTTTTAAGTAAATAAGAGGTAGTCTATTTATCAGTATGGTTTTGGTTAATTCATAGTAACTGTTTTGCTGAGATCTTGCAGTATATGCTTCTGGCTACAGAAGACAGAAGTTTGAAACACTACTTTGCCTCTGATGGTGAACTCAGAAAAAAAGCCTTTGCTCTGTAACAGCTGCCTTCATCACAGACTCTTTTGTTTTGTATTTTGGGCAGTGTCTTGCTCTGTCACCCAGGCCAGAGTGCAGTGGCATCATAGCTCACTGCACCCTCAAGCTCCTGGCTTAAAGCGGTCTTCTCCCCTCAGTCTCCTGAGTCGCTAGGACTGTAGTTGTAGGACACTGCGCCCTAAATTTGTATGTTGCGTAGAGACAGGCTGGCCAGATGCATTTAAAAAACAAAACAAAACAGGCTCACTATGTCGCCCTCGGTAAAGTGCCGTGGCATAACAGCTCACAGCAACCTCAAACTCTTGGGCTTCAGCGATTCTCTTGCCTCAGCCTCCCAAGTAGCTGGGACTGCAGGTGCCCGACACAACGCCCCACTTTTTTTTTTGTAGTTGTCGTTGTTTGTTAGGCCCAGGCTGTGTTCAAACCTGTCAGCTCCGGTATATGTGGCTAGCGCCAAGCCGCCAGATGCATTTTAAAACTAAAGTCAGCTGGCTTTGTGTATCAGCACCACTAGAGATGCTTGCTATAAAAACCAGGAACTGGGCCCAGCACCTGTGGCTCAAGCAGCTAAGGCGCCAGCCACATACACCTGAGCTGGCGGGTTCGAATCCAGCCCAGGCAGCCAAACAATGATGGCTGCAAGCAAAAAGTAGCCGGGCGTCGTGGCGGGTGCCTGTAGTTCCAGGTACTTGGGAAGCTGAGGTAGGAGAATCGCTTGAGCCCAGGAGTTGGAGGTTGATGTGAGCTGTGGTGCCACTGCACTCTACCCGGGGTGACAACTTGAGGCTCTGTCTCAAAAAAAACCCCAGACCATCCTGAGCAAGAGTTAGATCCCGTCTCCAAAAACAGCCGGACTAGTGCCTGTAGTCCCAGCTACTTGGGAGGGAGCCTCAGCCTGCGCTTCGAGGTCAGGCTCTGGCTCCACATCCAAGTCATCTGAGGCAGAACGATCGCTTGAGCCCATGACTCTGAAGTTGTAGTGAGTTATGACACCACTGCATTCTAGCCATGGCAACAAAGACAGGCCCTATTAAAAAATAGCGCGAAAGCATTTCCCGGCGCGGAGGCTCGGTAGATTGCCTGAGGCGGACCCCAGCACCAGGCTCGCTTCCGTCGGCTTGGCTGCGTCATCCGGCAGCACCGGAAGTTTCCTCGCGCTGCCTAGGAGACCGGACGCGGGCCTACCAGCTGACAGGCCCGGGCCAGCCGTGTCCACCAGGTCGCCATGGAGCTGCCCCCAGGGCTGTACGATGATCCTCGTGCCTGGGACGATGACTCAGACGTGGAGCCTGAGCCTGACCTCGACGCGCAGGCTGAGGCCTACGTGGCCCGCGTCCTCAGTCCTCCAAAAACTGGGCTTGTGCCCCCGCGCTCCTCGCCACTGCCCACGCCCTCTGCGTCTCCGAACTCCCAGGAGCCCCGTGCTGCATCCAAGGTCTCAGCAGTGGGTGTGCCGGGTCTGCTGAGCCTTCCTCCGGAGCTGCTGCTCGAGATCTGCTTGTACTTGGACGCGCGCCTCGTGTTCCACGTCCTGCCGCGCGTGTGCCACGCGCTGCGCGAACTCGTACGTGACCGTGTCACCTGGAGGTTACGTGCGCAACGCCGCGTACGTGCGCCCTATCCAGTGGTGGAAGGTGGGCACAAACGGGGCCAGGGACGCCTACCCAGGTCAGGCCTGGGGCAGGGGAGGAAGTATCGGGGGTGCTCCAGGCACAGCCTCTGGAGCTGGTTTCGTGGCTGTCCTGGCTCTGGCGGAAGGCTGAGGTTGTTACGGGTGGTGCCAAACCCCTGAGGACCTTTAGGTAGACCAAGAGGTAGACACAGGAGTACTTAGGCTGTGAAAACCCACCCTGAGGGCTGGAGTCCTTGCACTCAGAATTCAAAGGATCTTCTGGCTTTGGGTCTGGTGGTAACCAAGCGCCCGACCCCTGGCTTGGATTTGAAGTTTCAGACTATGCAATATATGATTGGGACTAAGAATAAGCACAAGCATCTTCAGGTTCTGGGTTTAGTCTAGAAGCTGAGGCAGCAACTGGTGTCCCCAAAGTCCCTGACCTCTTAGGGCCTTGACTTAGCTGCAGGTGAGGCAGCAGCTTAGGGTCCAGAGCCTGCAATCCTTGAACCATGTTAGGGTTTCAGTGTTGGGATCCCTGACACTAGCAGCTACAGATCCTCAAACCCTGGGTCTACTGGCTTCTTAGGCAGGGCTTTGTGGTCACTCCTCCTGTTCTCAAGTTGGTTGGTCCCTGAGGGAGAGGATGATTTGGAGACCTTGAATTAGTACTGTCGATTCTGAGATATTGCTGATCCTGAAATTCTTGGATCTTCTGGTCCTTGAGCCAATATGAGTAACAACTTGGGTGATTGATTACACCAACCTGGAAGCTTTGATTCTGTAGAGAAGCAAGGGATCCTAGGTTGGTGACTCTCAAGGTGTTGCTGTCCAACACCCTGAGTCAGACTCTCCCAAACAGCTTGATTAACATAGATGCTTTGGTTTCTTCTATACCTGGAGTCTGGATTCTGCATTTTGACAAGGCTCCCTGGTTTACAGAGATTAGTTTGAGAAATACTTCCCTTGGTCTGGTTCAGATGGTTGAAGCAAAAAGGGTTAGTCATGAGACCCCAGCTCCCTTGAGGGGCTGAGGTTGCTGTCCCCCATGCTTGGGTTCCAAGATGTAGCTTGGAGAGGTGTTCCTGAAGTCCCTGATTTCTGGAAATTGGAGTGAGGAACAGTCAGTCCTCGACCTGCCTGAGAGATTGATGGGCAGGTTGACCCAAGGCCAGATTCTGGGCCTGCTTGAGGTTGGGTAAGAGATCCAGATGGAGTTCTGTCCAAGTTTGGTGTATAGTGGGATCACTGGAAGAAGCCAGAGTGGTGTGGGTAGCAGGGTCCCTGCCCACTGGGGACCCTTCTCATGGTGCCCTACAGAGGAGGACTTTGACTGGCCAGCAGCCTGCATTGAGCTGGAGCAGCACCTGGCTCGCTGGGCAGAGGATGGGCGCAGGGCCGAGTACTTCTGCCTGGCCGATGGGCACTTTGCTTCCATTGACTCAGTGCTACTGCTTCAGGTGAGGCAAGGTCTGGGGGGTGTGGGGGGTGGAAAAGGGAAGGCCAAGGTGGCCCTGACAACATGACTTCCTCCCCTTTTCAGGGTGGGACACTATGTCTGTCAGGCTCCCGAGATCGCAACGTCAACCTATGGGACCTGAGGCAGCTGGGGGCAGAGCCCAGCCAGGTTCTGGTCAAAACCTTGGGCACCCAACCAAACAGCACCCACAAGGTGAGGAGTCAGGCAGGGGTAGGAGATGTGAGGACTGGGTAGTGTGCTTTGCCTTAAAGGCTCTGGTTTTGGCTCCAGGCCTCATAGATTGGAATCTGTTCTGCTATTGTTGGTGTGACTTAGAGTGACCAAATATGTGACTTTGTGCCTCTGTTTCTACTTCTGCTCAATGGGCAGTTAGGATGAGAATGAATGAGATGAATTATGCATTAATGTGGATATGCTTTGACACATAGTGTTCAGTAGACATCAGGTATACCTCAGAGGCTGCCTTGTGGATCAGCCAGCTCTGAGCATGACTGTCATCTCTGGAGAGCTCCACCAATCATTAAGGTGGTCTAGGCTGAGAGTTCATGTTCCTCACACTCAGGGACAGGCTGCTGGGTTCAAACCCCCAACTCTGGGGCTGGGCACAGTGGCTCACATCTGTAATTCTAGCCCTCTGGAAGGCCAAGGCAGGTGGATTGCCTGAGCTTAGGAGTTCAAAGCCAGCCTGAGCAAGAGTGAGACCCCATCTCTACTAAAAATAGAAAAACTGAGGCAAGAGGATCTCCTGTGCCCAAGAGTTTGAGGTTGCTGTGAGCTATGATGCCATAGCACTCTACCCAGGGCAAAAAAGAAAGAAAAGAAAAGAAAAAAACACAAAAATCCAGACTCCCCACTCTGCTACTTCCTAGCTGTGAGACTCAAGCTTTCTGATGGGATACATGATGGTACTCTTGAGAGGGTTTGGCGAGGAATCGGGCAGCACTTTGTGTATTGGTTGGAAGACAAGGACTATTTTTCTTTCCATTTTGCAGATGAATAAACTGACAGAGGTGGTGAAGTTTGCCCAGTTCATGGAATGGAGGCCACACTTCACATTGTTATGTGATTAAGACAACCACCACTGGTGCTGAGTGTCTCAGCTGAAGAACTTGAGTTAGAAATGTTATGGCTAGGGCGTGCCTGTGCTGGGCTCTTGATGTCAGACTGAACCACAAACCCAAACTCTCATCTCACCTTGATTTGGACTTGCTGGTTCTTGGGTCACTTGTTCCCTTGTCTTTTTTGACCCTTGATTTTGTTATCTGTGAAATGGTAAAGATTATATGGAGCCAGAGTTGTATATCACAGTGTCTGTCATAGTGAACATTAGGGAGGAAAAGCTGTGTGGCTTCGGATGAATCTGTTGCCCTTTCTGAGCCACATCTGCAAAATCAGAAAGATCCTTGCCTCACTCCCATGCACCCTGGTGGGGAGCTATATGTGACTGCTGCCCCTGGTCTTGCAGGGCTGGGTGTGGTCGCTGGCGGCTCAGGACCACCGAGTGTGCTCTGGCTCCTGGGACAGCACGGTGAAGCTCTGGGACATGGCAGCTGATGGGCAGCAGTTTGGCGAGATAAAGTGTGAGGGGCTCAGGGGGCCTGTGGGGGTGGGACACTGCCTGGGCATAGCCCAAATTCTGTGATCTTTGTATCTCCAGGGCCAAGGCAGCTGTGTTATGCTTGTCCTACCGTCCTGACATCTTGGTGACTGGCACCTATGACAAGAAGGTGACCATCTACGACCCCAGAGGTGGGCCAGGGGCCCTGGGGCCTGGGTTGGGAGAGCAGTGATGCCTGGGGTCTCCAGAACTGTGCCTGGGAAGGAGGCACTCAGACCTTGCAACCTGGCTGGGGTGACAGTTCCATGACCAGATTCTAAACACTGAGTGGCCAGCATTGTGCTGTGGCAACAGAGATGACTGGGGCAGGGGGTTCAAAGGAAACCTCGGGTAGCCTCCAGGGTTTGGTTAGAATCCTAGCTCCCAGCTTGGCGCCTGTGGCTCAAGTGGCTAAGGCACCAGCCACATACACCTAAGGTGGCGGGTTCAAATCCAGCCCGGGCCCACCATACAACAATGATGGCTGCAACCAAAAAATAGCCAGACGTTGTGGCGGGCGCCTGTGGTCCCAGCTACTTGGGAGGCTGAGGCAGGAGACTCGCTTGAGCCCAGGAGTTGGAG